AATCAAGATTATAAAATAATTTTAAAAAATATATATTAATATTGATAATTTTTAATTTAAATATTATAAATTTAATTATTATTATTATATCATGAAATAAATAATATTTTATATAAAATATTTTTTATTATTGTATTAAACTATTTATAATTTCATCTTGTAATTATAATTTTTTTAATTTTTTAAACACATAATAATATCAATTAAATATTATCATAAATAAAATTAGGATTGCAATCTCCATCTAATTAATCATTAGTGTTATTAAATAATGTTAAATATTAATTTTTTAAATAAAATATAATTAAAAATAAAAAAATAATTTTTTTATTTTATTTTATGAGATTGGTTGATAGTTATATTTTAAAATATATTAAAATAATATTATTTTTATTTTATTAAATTTATTTTGATATTGATATATAAAAATTAATTTAATTTTTATTTTAATAAATAATAAAATAATAATAATTTAAGTATAATCCAAACTTGTACATGATCATTATTTATATAAAAAAAAAAAAGCTAATGATGGGTTGATATTGGCACATGGATAAAAGAATCTCTTATAGTAGAGTATAATGAACATAAATATCTAGCACCCTACAAATATAATTTTATTATGATGGGGTAGAACCTGCAGAGAATGACAGCTCAATTATTTACTGAAACAAGCGGGAAGCTTATGAAAGCAACCCTTGGTCAATTCTTCTAACTCTGTATTTGCAACGCTGTAAATAATGAGACTCATGAATAGTAATTACTATTTTTTTTTACCAAACATTTGGCTCCTGTGTTTTGTTTTAACTGCAACCGTCACCTCATAAACAAACATAAATGGTCTTTATACATGACTATAAAACTTTAGTCCGACTAACTAGTAAATCAAAAAAATTTGGGCCAAAATCATATTTTTTTAAAAAAAATAAATTTAAAAATAATAAAAATAAATAAATTAGATTTTAAATCAATTTAATTTAACTCTGTATGTGTCTGTGTATAAACTAGATTTTAAACCAGATTTAATTATAGTTAATGTGTTTTTGATATAAATTACTTGCAAGATGTAATTATGTTGTGTGTAAAAATCAATTAGATAATATAATATGTTGATAAAACTTTTATGATATTATAAAAGTTTTCCTTTAAAACTTCTTTTTTTAATTAATTCTTGGTTTCAAGGCGTGGTTCTAATTGATAATAGTTTCTTTACCTATTCATTAGGCGTGGGTTAAATATCAAACCCCTGTGAAGATTAAAAGGATATTAATTATATTTTTATATTTATATTTGTCCATACAATATAAAGCATGAAAAAATATTTTGAATATAAGCACATGAGATTCCCATTACACGTAGACAATTGAAGTTCGTTTGACTGCTTCTATAATCCAATTTGTAATTAAAATAAAATCCTCTCATTTATAAAATTGAGGACTGATTTGAGAGATAAATAAATATTAGAGGGTGAGAATGCAAGGTTGGGTGGTGAATTGATTTTATGGCAGTTATTGAAACAAGAATAAATGAAAATACACGTCAACAAGAATAACTAGGAAGATCAGCAACCGAACACAGGGATATAATTGCAAAACATAAAGCAAAGAGTGATTAACATGAATCTTTACAATCTTCAACCTCCGGTCCGCTGAAGGAGAGCGAATCCGACCATTTAACCCGGATAGCAACCCCCAGGAACAATACAATTACGAAACAAAAACCTCTCTTTTCAATCTTTAACCGATTCAAACCAACCATCTGGTATTATAACAGTTTTTTATGGCTGAGATTTAACAAAAACAAAAACTATAAATTATAAATTATAGTTTTTTTAATCAATTATAGACCAAACACTTTGATTAAAAAAAAAGACAGTTTCAACCACCGTACCGCGCCACCAAACCGAACGGAGGAATTAGTAGCAACTTGGGTTTTATGAACCCTATCTTCAAAATTTCTTTGGAAGAAATAAGGAAATGCAAACAAAAGCAGGAATTCCATCGACGCAAAAACAAGATTTAATTTCTGTAATCCAAACATTTTGCTGATCTTACTTAATTGCAATCTTTTTTTTTCCCTTGACTTTCAATTATTCTTCACTATTATTGATAAATACTGACACCATCAAGAACACTGAGCATATTCAGAAACAATGACAACAAGAATCCAAACTAAGAGCAGGAACACGTCATAAGGACATCATCTCATCGATGACTTAGCTTGCGCTTCTTTGCCAGCTTTCTCTCCCTTTCTCGCCGCTCCTCCTCCTCTATCAATCGGAGTTGCTCTTCATCCTCCTCTCGTGCGATTCGAGCACTGCATCACCATGCACATCCATGAATCAATCAAATAACTACAGGTTGGATATGATTCAAAACATATCCATAAGTTGGGTGTGATGGAGCAGCCAGCCATTCAAATCAAAGCATGCTTGTGAAATATATTTTAACCAAAATGCTCAAGGAAAAGGAACAAATAAAGATCTTGATTAAAAAATATGACGGTGATGTTAAAAAAAAAGAAGGAAAAAAAAGAAGAGGCAAGTTGATTAAGAACTGCGATGGGGATGTAAAAAACACAGAAAAGCAAGTTGAGAACAAAATCAACAGTCAAAATATAGGAAACAGTGGATAACAAAATTCAATAACATTCTCGTCTAAGATTACTTAATGATACTAACCTTCTCCTCTCTTCCTTCATGATGTCATCGAAATTTGCCTCCATGTCACTATCATCATCGTCATCATAGTTACCACGGTTTTTATTTCTGCAAAGAAACAGCAGTAGCTCATAAAAAAGAAATTACCTCAAACCATCTATCAAGATCACATAAAAGCATCAACAAAAATCCAGGTACACAAGTTGACAAATCAAATCCAATTTAATTGTGAATCCAAAAGTAGGTCACCCAAAACCATATTACAGCTTGATAATTCTTACGACACAACTGATAAATTAGAGGGCATGATATTGACTGAGAAGCTCTCTAAGTCAAGAGATCATTACTTGAGAAAAAGATGAATCAGGCAGATTGATTATTCAACAAAATAACAGAAAGAAAGTTTTTGAGGGGAAATGAAAGA